AAAACTCATGCCAGGTGTGTGTGCGTGCGTGTCCAAGATCCCGAGAGGAGAGTGGAGGAGAAGGGATTGCAGCGTGGCCATCCCCCCTGGGGGTGTGTGATTTCTCGTTTTCTGTCTCTCTGTTTCTTTCTATCTGTCTGGCGAGCACATGCGCCCTATAGCTAAAACCTCTCCAAAAAAAAAAAGAGAGAGAGAGAGAGATGACTTTTTGAATTCATCTTGGTAACTTCAGTCCCTACCATAGTTCATGTTAACACTAATATTTAAGAACTCCTTGGTGATGGTGTGAGTTAATGGATAGATGGATGGAAGGTTGGTTGGATGGATGAGGAGCATTTTTAACTAATACGATAATATTATTAGTTATTTTTTAAGCATTTGGCACACGAAATGCCTGATCCATTGCTAAATACCTACAGTATCTCATTTAAACCTCCCACAAACAGTTGTGTGACATAGGCTTTGTTATTCTTACCTCATTAATGAGATTACTGAGTTGAGATTCATTTCATAATGTCTTACGAAAAATAAGAATCTAATTAGAATCTTGCCATCTAGTCTGACTGCCAAGCTTATGTTCTGGCCAACAGTATAATATTGCTTTTATTTTATTTTCTGTTTTCCTAATAGATCGTATAGGCATTTTTCAGATGGCTGTATGTATTGTTGGCCTTTGTGGTTGAAACAGAAATTACTTTCAGAGCCTTATGAGTGCACAAGGTTATTTGAGGGTTGTCATCTATGGTTTCATTGAAAGTGTGTTTCCTGCTAGAGGAGCTTTCAGAGCAACTCCATGCAATTGCCGTATTGCTGCAAACATATGAGGAGACTTCAAAGTGTTCGTTGAAAAATAGAATTAAAGTGCAAGTCTATTTTGGTGCAAAAAAATTGAAATCCACGCATAGTTTTTTATTTCATAGAGATTTTTGCTATAGGGTATGTGCGCTCGTCGGAGAGGCAGAGAGACAGAAAGTGAGAAATCTCCCCACACTGGGGTGGGGGAGGAATGGCCATGCCACAATCCCTTCTCCTCCATTCTCCTCTTGGGGTTTTGGACATACATCCACACACACCCAGCATGAGTTTCAAGCCACCAGTTCTTCTACTATTTTGAAACTTAGCTTCTCTGGGGGTTTAGATTCCCTGGCCACCCCATCTGGCTGTGAGAGCTCTCAATAGTTTGTGGGCTGGCAGTGTGCTGACCTAAAGTTTCTTTTCCCACCCAGTTCCCACACTGTGGTGAGGTTTCCATAAGGTCTGTTGGGTGTATATCCTGCAGCTTATTGGCTGCACTCATACTCTTCTTTGGTATGGTCTCTTTGGAGCCAACCAGGAGAAAACCAGTAGTGTGATTGTTTTGATATAGAATATTGACAAGTGTCTTTTTGGAATAAAGAACCAATCCTTCAAAAAGAAAAGGAAAAAATGCATGGATTTCAAAATGTTTGAAACTTGTACTTGAATTCCATTCCTCCGTAAATTTTTTCTTTTTTTTGAGAGGTTTTTTCTATACGGCACATGCGCTCATCAGAAAGACAAAAAGTATGAAATCACCACCCGGTGGGGGATGGCCACGCCGCAATCCTTTCTCCTCCATTCTCCTCTCAGGATCTTGGGCACGCACACACACGCACCTGGCGTGAGTTTAAGCCACCAGGCCCAGGACTTGAACTGCAGTATACTACATGGGAGTTCAGTGACACAGCCATTACGCTAACTGCTGATCCCCCCTCCGTAAATTCTTTGAAGTCCTCCCCTATCTGCTAGAGAATCAGAACTGAACCAGAACCTAAAGAGGTCTTCTTCCCCCCTCTGTCAAGGAAGAGGAAACTATATTTGCAACTTGGAAGAAAATTAGAAATGTAGATTATGTGTATTAGATATTCCCTGCTATCAACCTTCAGGAGATCGGCATGCCAGGAAAGCCTTCATGTGCTATCTGTAAAGTATGCCATGAGAGCTGTCAGGGCCTTTAGCCCAGAGCTGGTTCCGCATAGTTTCCAAATGATATTTCTATCTCGTAAGGATGTAAAAAGTCACCCTGACAGAAATCAACAGCCACGTGATAGGATCTCATTCATCTCTGGTCATTCCTGAAATGTGTGTAGGCCTTGAGATCAACTAGAAATGCTCACATTTTCTGTTAGAGGAACAGATCAAGGCAAGGGAGGAATCCCACACATTTCCATAGAAAGAGGTCCTGCAACGTCTTTCCTCTGACTAAATCTCCCCGTCTGCTGTCAAGAACAAATTGACTTGGGACCAGTAGTTGGCGTAATGGCTATGTCACTGGACTCCAATGTAGTCGACCACGGTTCGAGTCTCAGACCCAGTGGTTTAAACTCACACCAGGCGCATGTGCATGCATGCCCAAGATCCCAAGAGGAGAATGGAGGAGATGGGATTGCAGCGTGTCCATCCCCCTGGGGGGTGATTTCTCACTTTCTGTCTCTTTGTCTCTCTCTTTCTGGCGAGCGCACGTGCCCTATAGCTTTTGGGGGAGGCCCGTGCCCTAAAGAAAAAAAAAAAAAAAAAAAAAAAAAAAAGGAAAAAAGAAAGAAAAAAAAAAACTCTCAAAAATTATTTAATTTATTTTTAATTTTTAAAAATTTGCTATAGGGCATCTGCATTCACCAGAGAGAGACAGAGAGAGAAAGGGAAGGTGAGAAAGCAAGCCACCAGGTCCAGGACTCAAATCGTGGTTGGCCATGTGGGAGTCCAGTGCCTTAACCATCACATAACTGGCTGGACCTCCCTTCTAGTTTTAATGTACCATTGGTTGACAACTCTCAAAGCTGTATTTATGACCCAAATTTTTCCCCTAAGCTTCACATTATTTTTCACTTGTCCATTATAACTTAGTAAACATCCTTCAAGTGTCTCAAACTTACTATGTTTGAACCTGAAGTCATTCTTCTCCCTCCCTCCCCAATCTCCAGCCTCAACAAGGATCTCGCTACCCCACCTTCTTTAGCCCTGTAACCCAAATCTTTGTAAATAATGTCACTAGTAATTCAGTGTCATAAATTAGAGGCCTTGAAATCTTCACCTTCGATTTGTCCTTCTTCATCCAGATGGCCTCCAAATCCTATACGTTTTCTCTTTAAAAAGAGATTTTCGTGTGGCAAAGCTTTTCCTCCATTCCCACACCTACTACCTTACTTACTTCTTTATTAGCTTTCATTTCTTTGATTTCTGTGCTTCCAGTCTCTCCCTGCTCTAGACTGTGCAATGCCAAAGTGTCTGTCCAAGTTAAATTGTAATCATATCAAAGTTCTGCTTTAAAACTTCCTATGGTTCATTATGTCCATAGGACAAACTTCAACTTCTTACCTTAGTCCCTCCTACAATCTGTAATCCTACCACCATCCTAGCTAACCGGACAGCCTTTTCTTCTACCATCTCCTTCAACTCCTTCCCACCCAATCTACATTCTAGAGACACCAAACTTCTCACATTCCCCAAATAGGCTGTGCTCTTTCACATATGATTCCACAGCCCGGAATGTCCTTCAGGTCAACTTCACAAGCGCTTACTTAGGCATCTACTATGTGCTAGATACTGTTCTGGGGTCTCGAAAACAAAAAATAAGAAGATAAAGATCTTTCTCCCGGCGAGTTCAGAGTCTAGAAGTAAGGAAAATAGGCACATCAACAAATAATACTGATTTGCTGTGACGCCCACAAAGTGTGGGCAGAGAATGGAGGAGGGAGCAGGACAAGAGAACATGCCATGAAATTAATGCAGTGGAGGTGAACTGTACATCTAAAAATGGCTACGATGGTAAACATTATAGTATGTGGGGTTCTTTTAACCACAATCAAAAATTTTAAAATTATTTTTAAAAATACAATGCAGTGGGACCAGCAGTTGACATAATGGCTATGTCGCTGGACTCCCATGTAATCAACCGTGGTTCAAGTCCCAGACCCAGCAGTTTAAACTCGTGCCAGGCGCATGTGCGTGCATGCCCAAGATCCCAAGAGGAGGATGGAGGAGAAGGGATTACGGCATGGCCATCCCCCTGGAGGGGGAGGGTGACTTCTCTGTTTCTGTCTTATATATATATATATATATATATATACATATATATATATATATATATATACTATATACATATAAAATGCAAGACCAACCAGTGGTGTGATGGTTAAGGCAGCTGTGTTCCACATGGCTGACTGCGTGGTTCATGTCCCGGATCTGTCTTCTTGAATAAGTGCTGGCCAAGTGTGCAGGTGTACCCACAATCCTGTAAAGAGAGCTGGAGGAGAAAGGATGACAACATGACCATCCTCCATGGGACACTGCTTTCTCAGACTCCTCTCTCTATCTCTGCTGAGCACACAAGCCCTCTAGCAAATTTTTTAAAAAATAAAATAAAATGCAGTACAAAAAACCAGCAGGACGGTAGTTAGAGTGCTGGACTCCCACATGGCTGATTGAGGTTTGAGTCCCAAACCTGGCAGCTTGCATTCTCACTTTCCATACTTCTCTCTCTCACTCTGGTGAGTACATATACCCTATAGCAAACTTAAAAATAATAACAATAATAATAATAAATAAAATAAATACAAGATAAAGATTTTTTTGTTTGTTTTTTTGTTTTTGTTTTATTTTTTGGAGAGGTTTTTTCACTATAGGTCGCGTGCGCTCACCAGACAGAGAGAGAGAGAGACAGAGAGACAGAAAGCAAGAAATCACCCCCCGAGGGGATGGCCACGCCGCAATCCTTTCTCCTCCATTCTCCTCTCGGGATCTTGGGCACGCACGCACATGTGCCCAGCGTCAGTTTTAAGCCACCCGGTCCAGGACGCAAACCACAGTCGACTACGTGGGAGTCCAGTGACATAGTCATTACGTTAACTGCTGGTCCCAATACAAAATAAAGTTTTGAAAAGAAATATGCTGTGTGGTAAGGGGAAGTGCTTGGGGGTTGCAAGGCCTCTCCTCACACAGATCGCCTGCAGTCACTCACCCGTCCTGTATGTCCTCTGTTGTAGTGTGTTCCTGCCATCCGGTTGGATCAGCCGTCCTTCCTTTCAGCTCAGTGACCTTCTGTGACCCCAGCAATGGTGACTGCCCTTGCAAGCCTGGGGTGGCCGGGCCACATTGTGACAGGTGCATGGTGGGCTACTGGGGCTTCGGAGACTACGGCTGCAGACCTTGCGACTGCGCCGGGAGCTGCGATCCTCTCACGGGGGACTGCGTCAGCAGGTGAGCACTCGGGATTCTAGCTTGTATCTCCGTGTATTTCCGACGTTGTGGAGATGTGGTAGCGATTTGGGAAACTATGGCATGCCCTTAAGTAGAACAAAGCTATAGTTCCATATCTCTTTAAAGAATCGTTGTCCAAATGCAGTTAAGTCATTTGTTCTTCTTCTTTTTTCCTCCGTACATCTATTCATCTATTTATTTGTTGTGATTTTTGAGCCACCAGGTCCAGGACTTGAACCACAGTCAGGCACCTCAACTGCCACACCACCTGCTGGCCCCAGTCATTTGTTCTTACCAGATTCTAAAGATGATCGTTTTGCAAAATAAATTACTCTTCTTTATAATAGATCTTAACACACTATTTCTGGAAGGTGAAAGTAAGGGCAGGTGGATGCTAAGTTTGAACCCTCTGTAAGTACGTTCTTTCTGTTCAAGGTCCAAAGTATTCGTTAGTCAGTGTGTCCTTCTGTTCTGTTTTATCAGCAGCACAGACATAGACTGGTATCATGAAATTCCCGACTTCCACTCCACGCACAATAAGAGTGAACCGACCTGGGAGTGGGAGGATGAGCAAGGATTTTCTGCACTCCGACACTCAGGTGAGACGCTGTAACCAGGTATCATACTACAGGTCTGCTCCGGAGTAACAGTAATATGTGACAATCCAGGGAACGGGTTTGGATCCTGCAAGGGGAAACTCTTTAGTTGAGGCTTAATAAAGTAGTGACGCCCGTAAGTATAGCTAAGGGGTCTTTTAACAACTTTTGTTTATCTTCTGATTATTAGAGTAACATATGTAATTAATATAGAAAATTTTGAAAATTACAAAACATCACAGTAAAAAGAAAAATGAAAAAGTAGGAGCCAGACCGTGGCACAGTGGTAACACAGAATCCCCTGTAAGGCCGATCCACATGGGACGGTTCCTGATGTACATCCAGAAATCCCCACAAGGACGCTAGGTATGCGCATTCCCATGATCTAGGGCTGGCTGAGGCTGGGGGTAGACCACGGCATTAAGATCTTGTTGGGAGGGGCCAGCAGGTGGCATGGCAGTTAAGGATGTAGACTCCCACATGGCCAACTGTAATTCGAGTCCCAGACCGAGCGGCTTGCTTTCTCACTATCTCTCTCTCTCTCTCCCTCTCTGTTCAAATTAAGAGAAATAAAGTTAAATAAGATAATTCATTAAAAAAAAAAAAGATCTTATTGAGAGTGCTCTCTCTTGCTTTTGGGATAAATAAATTTAAAAAAATAAATAAACAAAATAGAAGCAGCAGCAGCCTGGGATGCCCCTGCGGTCTGGTGGTTAATGGTCCTATATCCCACCCACATGGCCAACCTTGTGGTTTGAATCCCAGCCCCTGAGACTTGAAAAACATGTGGGTGCATGTGTATGTGTGCCCCAAATCCTGACAGGATGGAGAAATGGGGGAGAAAGGTTTGCAGTATGACCGAGCCCCATTGGGAGGTGCTTCCTTTTCCCTGTCTGTCTGTCTTTCTTAGTTGAGCACACACACCCTCTGGTAATGAAAAAAAAAAAAAAAAAAAGGCACCCCAGAATCTTTTTACTCCACTCTTACTACTTTGGTGTGTTTTCTTCCATCTAAAACCTACTGTTTCACACACATAAGAGCTAACCAAATATAAAAGGTTTGGAAATGTACTGATCTATTTAAAAGAAAAATCTCCTTACAGACCTAGTGCAACTTAATAGGTACAAACAGAAGTCAAATAATAAAATCAATACAACTCAAATTACTGACATTAATTGAATTTAAAAAATGTTTTTTACTGAAACCAAAACACTATTTACTACATAAATATGATTCGTTTTAATTTACCAAATCCATATTGCTATTTTTCCTGACTCAACTTTCCTATGCTATTTCTGTTTCTTCTTTTGAGGAGTGTGTGGTGATATTGGTGTGAATATTTCATTTTTGTGTTCATCCTTCTTTTATTCTTTTCTGGTAGAAAATCGAGTAGTTCTATTTTGTACCAACTTACTCCTTAACAGAAACTCGAACATGAGCATGAAATCTTGTGTCAACACTTGGTTTTAAGGTGCTCACTAAATCATCCAAATTAAACTTACAATAAATTAAATACACTTTTATTACAAAACATTAAAAACAACAAAAATATTAGACAATAAACTTCCATATGCCTATCTTCAGAGAGTTATGAAGAAACATTGTGGGTGCATCATGGCATGGGATCATACTGGGGGTGCCTATTCCTCTCTCTCATAGAGATAGATGGGATTTTCTTTTTTTTCTCTTCTTTTCTTTCTTTTCTTTTTTCTTTTCTTTTCTCCTTTTGTTTTTTAGAGAGAGATTTTTGTTATAGGGCATGTGCACTCACCAGAAATACAGAGAGAGACAGGAAATTAGAAATCACCCCCACAGGAGGGATGGCTACACCACAGTCCTTCCTCCTCCATTCTCCTCTTGGGATTTTGAGCACGCATGCATACACACCCGGCATGAATTCTAAGTCACCAGGTCTGGGACTCAAACTGCTGTTGACTACATGGGAATCCAGCAACATAACTATTATGCCATCTGCTGGGCCCAGCATTTTAAAAAGAAGTTACCAGGGGCCAGCAGACAGTGTGGAGGTTAAGGTGCTGGACTCCCACATGGCCCAATGTACAGTTTGAGTCCCACACCAGGCAGCCTGAAAACTACTCCAAGCATATCTGTGCGAGCGCCCAAAATCCCAGGAGGAGAATGGAGGAAAAAGGATTGCATCATGGCCATCCCCCGCAGGGGGCTGATTTCTCACTTTTGCTCTCTCTGTCTCTCTCTCTGTATCTCTGTATCTCTGTGTGCCATATATATATATATATAAAGAAAGAAAAAAAGTTACTTTGCCATAATTGTTTTATATTTTCATTTAAGTTACAAAACTTAATTTTAAAATATAAGCTTATAGATTCACTCGAAGTCCCTGATGTACACAAGCTCACTAGCCCATCTTACTCCACAGGACAACCATGATCATGATCTTGTGTATCATTCACTTTTGTGTTTTTACTGTTCCACTACCTGTATGTATTTTGAGTATTTTTTAAAATTTCACACACATGGGGCCAGCAGGTAGCATGGTGGTTAAGGTGCCGGACTCCAACATGGCTGACCACGGTTTGAGTCCCAGACCTTTCTCACTTTCTCTGTGTCTCTGGTGAGCAAACGTTCCTTATAGCAAATTTTTTAAAAAATAACAATACTAACAAATAAAATGAAATCATTCTTTTTAAAAAATTTTACACATATAATGAACCTACCCACCCCTTTCAATGTTTTTGACATGACTGTTTTTTTGAAATTTCATCTTTCCTATAATATGAATACAGCACTTTTATAAGCTCCCACTGTTTGCCATTTAAGATTATTCCAGTTTTCTACCATTATAAATGATGCTACCGTCAGTGTTCTCTTATGTGTGGCTTTGTGCGCTTGAGAAGTTCCGCTGGATGGAGGTTGACAAAGCGTAGCCCTCGGGCCACATCTGGCCTGCCATCTGTTTTTCCTCAGCCTGTAAGCTACCTGCAGAATGGTTTTTACCATTTTAAACAGTTATCCTTTGCGTGTAAGTCTCTATCTTTAATTCTTGGCCATTCAAGTTTCCTTTTCTGTGGATTTCCTCTTTGCAATTTCCTTCCTTACTTGTAGAAGCTTTTGATAAATTCATTCATTCCTCGAACAAATATTTGTTATTGACTACCTATATTGAGTGACGCCACGGTTAATACAGTTAGTGAATGAAACAGAGAAATCTCTGGCCCCAGGTAGCTTACATGCTGGTGGAGAAAGACAGCTACAAAGAACAAATAAATAAAATATTTATCTAATAGGTGTTTAATAGGAAAATAAAACAGATAAGAGTTGAAAAGTGCTTGGGAGGAGCATACTTTTAAGTCGGGTGGCCAGGGTAAGTCCTATGAAAGGTGACATTTGAGAGAAAAATCCAGAAGGAGATAAAAGAATGAGCACTTGAGAAAACGAGAAAGAGAACTTAGGCAGAAAATGTAACAAGAACAAGAGGCCCTGAGGTGGGAATAGGCCCAAATTTGATGGAAATATTTTGATAATGTTACCAGTATGGTAACTGAAGTTGACGTTTGATAGGTAGACCTTATCCAGTTAGTCATTCTATTTTATTTTAATTTTATTATTAAGGAGTTTTGTATTTAGCAAAATAGTTTTATGCACCTCTTGAGAAAAACAGATGGTTTTATAATTATCTATGCTATAATCTATTAGTAAGTGTTTGAAAATGAGATTTTTATGTTTTCAAGTTATTCTCCTAGTCCTAGGATAAGCCCTGTCCTGATGTTCTTTTATTCATGATTTATACATTCCCTAATTTGATCTAAGAGTTTTTTTACTTATTTGCTTGCTTAGGATTTCTGTATATATGTTGATAACTGATATTTTCCTAAAATTTATTGTACTATTTATGTTTGGGTATATTAAAAAGTTCCCTTCTCCACTATATTTTTATTTTCCTATTTTCTTTTTTTCTTTCCTTTTTTTAGTTGTTTTTTTTTTGTTGGTTTTTTGTTTGTTTTTTTTTCGGTTTTTTTGTTTGTTTTGCCATAGGGTGCTGGAGAGAAACAGACAGAATGGGAAAGTGAGAAACCATCTCGGGGGATGGCCATGCTGCAATCCCTTCTCTTCTATTCTCCTCCAGGGATCTTGGGCATGCATGCTCACATGCCCCATGTGGTTCTCAAACAGCCAGGTCCAAGACTCGAACCCCAGTCAGCTTTGTGGGAGTCCAGCACCCTAACCACCACACCACCTGATTACCCATTCTTTTTCTATTTCTGCAATAATTTACATAAAAGGAGAATCATCTGCTATCTGAATGTTTGTTAGAACTTATCTATAAAACCATCTGAATGTAGTGTCTATGAGTAGAGAGAAACATATCATTACAGACTCAGTATCTGTACTGTATTTGTTTATTCTTGAGTTGTGTTGGTAGTAAGTTTACTAGAATATTCTCAATTTCATTTAATTTTTTAAAAATTATTGGCATAGGGATCAGCAGATGGCATAATGATCACGTCACTGGAATCCCACATGGTCGCCTATGGTTCAAATCCCAGACCCGGCAGCTTAAAACTCACTCCAGGCATTGTGTGTGCATGCCCAAAATCCCAAGAGAATGGAGGAAAAGAAATTGTGATGTAGCCATCCTCCTTGGGGGGATGGTGACTTTTTTGCTTTCTGTCTGTCTCTCTCTGGTGAGCGCATGTGCCTTATAGCAAAAATTTCTCTCTAAAAAACCAAATTATTGGCACAAAGTTATACCTAGTATTGACTTATAATAAATTACTCAATCTACTCAGTCTGTAGTTAGGTCTCCTTTTTGTGACTTAAACAATCTTACTGATTTTATTTTATTTTTATTTATTTATTAGAGGTCTTTGCTTTAGGGCATATGCACTCACTGGAGAGAGATAGAGACAGAGATAGTAAGAGAGAAAGTGAGAAATCACCCCCTACACACCCCAGGGTAGATTACCAGGCTGCAGCCCCTTCTTTTTCATTCTCCTCCTGAGATTTTGGGCACATACACACACGTGCCTGTAATGAGTTTGAAGCCACCACATCCGGGACTCAAACCGCGGTCGGTCATGTGGGAGTCCAGCAACATAACTGCTACACCATTTGCTGGCCCCCAATCTTGCTGATTTTAATTTGCTTTTTCAAAGAATAATTTTTGGTTAAGTCACCTATTTTTTTTAAGAATTATTTTTTCTTTAATTTTATTTATTTATTTATTTTAATTTGACCAGAGAGGGACAGAGAGAGAGAGAAAGAGAAAGTGAGAAACCAAGCCACCAGGTCCGGGACTCAAACCATGGTTGACCCTTAACC